CGATCGCCACGGACGCGGGAGTCGCCGGCCCGCCCCCTTCCCGCCCCCTCGGGAACTCGGAGGAGCGCGGCGGCCGCCCGCCCTCTGCTGGAGGACGCGGTGGCCAGTCCCCGCTCCCGTCCGCTGTCCCGGGACCCCGACTCCTGGGAAGCAGAGCGTTCCACCCGGTGCACGACCCCAACCCCCAACCCCCGACCCTGCCCGCTGTCCCTGGCCCCCAACTCCCTGGAAACAGTCTTCCGCCCGGTGCATGTCCCCCACCCACCCAGGTGCTGCCCACCTCTCGGGCCCCCAACTCCTGGGAAGTGTAGCCCTCCACCCGGTGCACGCCCACCCCCAGGATGCCTGCTGCCCCCAGATCCCAACCCTCCACCCTATGCATGGCCCGCCCTCCGCACCTGCCTACGCCACTCCCCGCGCTTCTCTGCGAAGGTGGCAGGGGGCGGGGGTTCTGCCACACTGTGTGTCTGTGGGTGAGTCACTTCGCCTCTCTGAGCTTCCTCCGTGGAGGCTGTTGGTGTTGTTAAAAGCAGCGGTGTCCCAGTGACAGAGAGAAATGGACCCCCCAGTAGCGTACCAAGGACACGGATGCCTTCCTAAGACCCGTGCGCACAGCCCTGCACGGCCCTGCACAGAGGCTGCAGGCTGCTCAGGGGCTGGGGTCGGAGCTAGACCCCACTCCAGCCCTAAGAACCCCGCGCTCGCCCTGCAGACTGGGGAGCAGCCCTCCATGCATGTGAACAGGCCCAGGCGTGGACCGCCAGCCCCCTCCTTGGCGGGACCCTTTCAAAGCAGCCCAGGGCAGCTCTTGGGGCCCCCTCTTCTGCCGCTCCAGGCCGGGGCCCATCAGGCAGGGGCTGCCAGCCTGCCTGGGGCTGACCCCCGACCCATTGACCCCAGCCCTGGCCTCAGCAGGCTGGCGGGGCGTTGCTCAACCTTCGGCGTTATCTGCTGAGCTGGGGTGACCTCCGCCCCCAAGAGCTGGAGGAATGACATCTCCCTGTGCCCTTGGGGGTGGGGGGCAGGGAGAGGAGGGATAAGACACTTGCCCTGCCTGCGGCTTTCTGGCCTTCCCGGCAGCCTCTGGGCCAGGAAGGGATCAGGGCCCAGAGAGGCGTGGTGACATCCCTGAGGCCACCCAGCCGGGCCTGGCTGCAAAGTGGGACACTGGGGCTCCGCTGAGGGCCCTCCCTTATCCGCCGCTGGTGACTTTTCCCCCAGCCTCTCAGCCACTGGCCGCCTAAATGTCTTCCTTCCCTCAGTTTCCCCCAGCCCGGCCTTCAGGAGGGCTGGCCTCAGCAGAGTGGAAGTCCTGAGCCCACCACGCTGGCCACTGGCCAGCAGATGAGCACACTTCCTGTTCCCTCCGGACCCTGAAGGCTGTCCCTCAGCCCTGCCCCGATCCCCCTGCCCATCCCACCTGCCCCTCCCCATGTCAGCCCCTGGGGAGGGGGGACTTCTTTAATGATTACATTTGATTGACCTGCTGTGTGGACGTGTGCCAGAGAACTTAGGGCACTCAGTTCTCTCCTTCCATCATGTGTGGGTCCTGGGGACTGAACTCGGGTCTTCAGGCGTGGCAGTAAGTACCTCAAACCACTGAGCCAACTCGCTGGCCCAACTTCTCTCTTCGCTCACTGTTTCAGCTGGGTGTGGCCTCGGGCAAACTGGCTCCCCGATCCCAGCCTTAGCTTCCTGCCTTTCTGGGTTCTGGGAAGACGCTGCCAGAACCTGGGGAGGGTTATCCAGTAGTTCAGGCATCTGCTGTGTGTCTTTAGCCAGTCCTGCACCCTCTCTGAGCCACATTTCATACTCATCCTCCTGGTCATTTGTAGGTGGGTCCTACTGTCTGTGCTTTACAGGTAAGGAAACTGAGGTCGTCACAGGAAAGCAATGGAGAAAGTCTTCCCTTGGGGTCAAGTCCTGACAGTCAACTGAGGTCTAGACCAAGGTGACTCGGGACCCAGAGAACACACGCCACCTCATCAGAGAGCTTGGCTCTCTGGCCTCCAGATTGGGCTAGCTGACCTCTTCACAGCCTCCCTGCTGGGGCTCACCCACCCACGGCCCACCCAAGTGTGTCACAGGGAGGCCGGACGAGTGTGCCTCCCTGGGACACACTTTTCCCAGGCTCCCTGCTCAGCAGGCCGAGCCTCCGCCATCACAATCACTGCCAGCCCTTCCCCAGGGCCCCGGGACCCCACCAGGCCCGAGCAGCTGGCACACAGCTGGCCTTCCCCGTCCGTGGCCAACTCCTTCCCTCTCCCTGTCCCACCTGCATGTTTGGAGGAACCCAGGCTGCCAAGGTCCCGATGTGGCCAAATCAGCCCAGAAATGGGTTAGCCCGACACCATCGATCGCGATGTGCTTGGCATCTCAGTTCTTTTATGTTATTGTCACGGTGCTGGAGTTGGAAGCTTAGGTCTTGCAGGTGCCCTGCCAGCGAGCTACACACTCCTTTTGAGACAGGGCCTTGATAAGTTGCCCAGGCTGGCCTTGAACTTGGGATCCTTCTACTTCACCCTCCAGAGTAGCTGGGGTGACAGACCTTCGCTCTCAGGCCCAGCGGTCGCTCTAAGTGAATTCATTCCTAACACGTAAAAGCAAGACTTCACACCACAGTTGCGACGTCCAGTGCTTTGAAACCTGGAACCCTGAACTGGCCTCTCTGGTGTGGTGGCCTCTCTGGTGCGGTGGCCTCTCTGGTGCGGTGGCCTCTCTGGTGCGGTGGCCGTGGCCATGGGGGTGGCTAAGGCAATGGGCGGCATTTCCAGCATGGGATGCATACCCTCTGTTGCCCCCGGACTCTCCGCCACCTGCAGGAGGGGGCGACTGAAGCTGAGCACCCCCCCCCCAGCCTGCAGGCAGCAGCCGTGACTCAGTACAGGTGCGACATCAGGTGGGTCTCTAGTGGGGGGTCAGGGGACCCCTTCTGTTCCCATGGGGACCCTCCTTACAATGGGTCCCTGGCATGGGGATGTGGGATGTCCTATCTCTGGCCCCTTTGGCCTTCTCCTGATGGGTGGGGGTGACTCACACCACCCCCACAGCCCCACACAGGCCCTGATGGTGGCAAGCCATGAAGACGCCACACAGCGGGCAGATGAGGAAACAGGCCTCAGGACCTCAGGACTTCCCCCACGTAACAGGTGATGGCCAGAGCCTGCCCCACATCGGCGCTTTGCTGGGGTAGATCACTCTACCCACATGTACCAGGGCCTGGGTTTCACTCCCAGCCAAGAAAAGTAAGCAAAGGAGGAAACACCAGGTCTCCTCTCCTGAGGCCTCAGTTTCCCCACTGTGCTCCGCACTCAATCCCAGGTTGGCACCCTCAGCGAAACCGCCCTCTGTGAAACTTGCCCTCTGTGAAACTTGCCTGTGTGTATGCTGCCACCATGTGGCAGGCCTTGGAACTGCAGGAGTGACTTGGTGTCTTCTGGGTGAGAATCCAGCTGGGTGCAGTGATTTGCCGGGAGGGACTGGCGCTGTGGGTATCACACCCACAGGACATAAGCGCGCCACTAAGAGAAATACAAATGTCCAAGAGATGGGCAAAAGGCGTTCAGCCTTCCTGTAGTTACTCATCAAACTTTTTAAACTATAGGTCGAATCCTAGAGACACAATGTATCACATCAGGCTCTGGGAAGACACTGTGGGAATGGGGATCAATTCAATGGGGATCTGAATGTCACCGGGTACAGCGGGGTGTGACATGAGTACAGAAGCCTATAGGTCTGTGCCAGGCAGAGAAACGGCCAGGCAAAGTCCACCTCTGCAGGGCTGTGCCCATTACGAACAGCTTTGCTGGCCGGCATCCTCACAACTGGATGTTATGGGGGTTAGGAGATGGAACAGAACCTGTAACAGACCCCTTGGCTCCCTTTGGGACATGGTCTGTGGTACAAACCAGTGAGGGAAAGACATCCACCAGGCAGGAAGTGGGGGTGGACCTGGTGGGCCGAGGTCACCTTCAGGACCTCTACTGAAGATGCAACCACTGAGATGTGCTGATGATGGGGGCGTGGGGTTACTGTGCCTCTGGGGTCTGAACCGCAGCCAGAAAGGGTTTGATGAGTGACTACACAAAGGTCGAACTGCTTTGTCTGTCCTTGACTGTTCTTGTTCCTCTCTCTGCCTGTGACTTATAATCACAGCCCTTGGGAGGCTGAGCCAGGAGGGGGCCG